CTCACTGCAAGCTCCGCCTCCCGGGTTCACGCCATTCTCCTGCCTCAGCCTCCCGAGTAGCTGGGATTACAGGCGCCCGCCACCTCGCCCGGCTAGTTTTTTTGTATTTTGTAGTAGAGACGGGGTTTCACCGTGTTAGCCAGGATGGTCTCGATCTCCTGACCTCGTGATCCGCCTGTCTCGGCCTCCCAAAGTGCTGGGATTACAGGCTTGAGCCACCGCGCCCGGCCTTTTTTTTTTTTTTTTTGATGGAGTCTCGCTCTGCCAGCCAGGCTGGAGTGCAAGGTGTGATCTCGGCTCACTGCAACCTCCCCCTCCCGGGTTCACGCCATTCTCCTGCCTCAGCCTCCCACATAGCTGGGACTACAGGCGCCTGCCACCACGCCCGGCTAATTTTTTGTATTTTTAGTAGAGATGGGGTTTCACTGTGTTAGCCAGGATGGTCTCTATCTCCTGACCTCATGATCCACCCACCTCGGCCTCCCAAAGTGCTGGGATTATAGGCATGAGTCACCGTGCCCGGCCGACATTTGAGTTGTTCTAAACTTTAAGGAATATTGCTTCACTTTTACTTATTTCTGGCAGTTACAGAATACATCATATATTTAATGTAGATAATATTTTTCTCTTTAGGAAAAGATCTCCCAATTCTTTGAAGTTTTTAGTAAGCTACTATATTTTCTAAAATCTACTTAAAATAAAAGAAGTTGCAGCCATATTCTTGTAATATGAACACAAGCATAAGCCACGAGTTGCTGGATAATTCTTATAGAGAAGGCAACCTCAAATCCTTCTCCATCACCTTTTGCTGTTTATAAGACTATTTTCCTGACCACACCCCACACCACAGTAAGCAAGTCATACTATGTAGAACAAAACCCACTGCCTATGTAATCCCTTCTGAATCACACTCTCACCTTTCAAATGACAGGCAGACAGCAGAGACCAAGTGGACAAAATAATCTCAAAGTTGGAGGATGGCCTTTCTGAATGAACAAAGCCTCCAAGAAATATGGGATTATATAAAAAGACTGAATCTATGGCTGATTGGTTTACCTGAAAGGGATGGGGAGAATGGAACCAACCTGGAAAACAAATTTCAGGATATCATCCATGAAAACTTCCCCAATCTAGCTAGAGAGGCCAACATTCAATTCAGGAAGTGCAGAGAACCCCAGTAAGATACGTCACAAGAAGATGATCCCAAAGACACACAATCAACAGATTCTCCAAGGTTGAAGTGAAAGACAAAATGTTAAAGGCAGCTAGAGAGAAAGGTCAGGTCACCTACAATGAAAAGTCCTTCAGACTAATAGCAAACTTTTCAGCTGAAACCCTACCAGCCAGAAGAGATTAGAAGTCAATATTCAACATTCTTAACAGAAATTTTAACCCAGAATTTCATATCTGGCCAAACAAAGCTTCATAAGCATAGGAGCACCCGATTCACAAAGTAAGTTCTTAGAGACCTTAAAGAGACTTAGACTCCCAATCAAAAATAGTAGGAGACTTTAACACCCCACTGACAATATTAGGTCACTGAGACAGAAAATTAACAAAGATATTCAGGACCTAAACTCAACACTGAATCAAATGGACCTGATAGATATCTACAGAACTATCCAACCAAAAACACAATATACATTTTTCTCATTGCCACTGCTACATGGTACATACTTTAAAATTGATCACATACTTGGAAGTAAAACACTCCTTAGCAAAAAAGAAAAAAAAAAAAAAAAGAAAGAAAGAAAACCAGCACACAATAATAATACTCTCTCTCACCATTCCTATTCAACACAGTATTGAAGTCCTTGCCAGGGCAATGAGGCAAGAGAAAGAAATAAAGTGCATCCAAATAGGAAAAGAGGAAAGCAAAGTATCCCTGTCTGTGACAACATGGTCTTATGTCTAGAAAACCCCATAGTCTCAGCCCAAAAGCTTCTTAAGCTGATAACTTCAGCAAAGTCTCCAGATACAAAATCAATGTGTGAAAATCACTAGCATTCCTATACACCAACAACAGTCATGTCGAGAGCCAACTCAGGGACAAACTCCCATTTACAACTGGCACAAAAAGAATAAAATACCTGGGAATACAGCTAACTGGGGAGAACTACAAACCACTGCTCAAAGAAGTTGAAGATGACACAAAATAAATGGAAAAACATTCCATGCTCATGGATAAGAAGAATCTGTATCATTAAAATGTCTATACTGTTCAAAGCAATGTATAGATTCAATGCTATTCCTATTAAACTACCATTGAAATTCTTCACAGAACTAGAAAAAACCATTTTAAACTTCACGTGGAACAAAACAAAACAAAACAAACAAACAAAACTCTGCATAGCCAAGGCAATGCTAAGCAAAAGAAACAAAGTTGGAGGCATCACATTGCCAGACTTCAAACTATACTACAGGGCTACAATAACCCAAAATAGCATGGTACTGGCACAAAGCAGACAGATAGACCAATGGCACAGAATAGAGAACCCAGAAATAAGACCGCATACCTACCACTATCTGGTCTTCAACAACACAAAAAAGAGCAATGGGGAAAGGATTCCCTATTTGATAAATGGTGCTGGGATAACTGGCTAGTCATATACAGAAGATTAAAACTGGACCCCTTCCTTACACCATATAGAAAAACTAACTCAAGATGGATTAAAGACTTAAACATAAAATCCCAAATTATAAAAACCCTGGAAGACAACCTAGGCAATACCGTTCAGGACAATAAGCATGGGCAAAGATTTAATAATGAAGATGCCAAAAGCAATTGGAACAAAAGCAAAAACTGACAAATGGACCTAATTAAATTAAAGAGCTTCTGCTATCAACAGAGTAAACAAACAACCTACAGAATGGGAAAAAATTTTTGCAAACTATGCATCCGACAAAGGTCTAATATCCAGCATCTTAAGAAACTTAAACAAATTTACAAGAAAAAACAACCCCATAAAAAAGTGGGCAAACACATGAACAGACATTACTCAAAAGAAGACATACACACGGCCAAGAAGCATATGAAAAAATGATCAGCATCACTGATCATTAGAGAAATGCAAATCAAAACCACAATGAGATACCATCTCACACCAGCCAGAAAGGATATTATTAAAAGGTCAAAAAACAGATGCTGATGAGGTTGTGGAGAAAAAGGAATGCGTACACACTGTTGGTGGGAGTGTAAATCAGTTCAACCATTGTGGAAGACAATGTGGCAATTCCTCAAAGACCTAAAGACAGAAACACCATTCAACTCAGCCATCCCATTACTGGGCACATACCCAAAGCATATAAATCATTCTATTATAAAGACACATGCATGTGTATATTCATTGCAGCACTATTCACAATAGCAAAGACATGGAATCAACCTAAATGCCCATCAATGATAGACTGGATAAAGGAAATGTGGTACATATACACCACGGAATACTATGCAGCCATAAAAAAAATGATACTATGTCCTTTGAAGGGACATGGATGGAGCTGGAGGCCATTATCCTTAGCAAACTAATGCAGGAACAGAAAACCAAATGTTCTGCAAGCCACGTGTTCTTACTTACAAGTAGGAGCTAAATGATGAGAACACATGGACACATAGAGGGGAACACCACATACTGGGGCCTATCAAAGGGTGGAGGGTGGGAGAAGAAAGAGGACCAGGGAAAATAATGGGTACTCAGCTTAATCCCTGGGTGATAAAATAATATCCACCACAAACCCCCATGACACAAGTATACCTATGTAGCAAACTTGCACGTGTACCCCTGAACTTAAAATAAAAATAAAAAAAAGATAAAGAAAAAAATGAAAAATGTGGTACATATACACCATGGAAGACTACACAGCCATAAAAAAGAAGGAAATCAAGTCCTTTGCAGCAACATGGATGAAGGTGGAGGCCATTATCCTCTGTGAGCTAAAGCAGAAACAGAAAACTAAATACATTTTTTCACTTATAAGTGGGAGCTAAGCATTGGGTACACATAGATATAAAGATGGGAACAACAGACACTGGGGACTCCAAAAGGAGAAAGGAAGGGAGAGAGGCAAGGGCTGAAAGTTTTCCTATTGTACACTATGCTCACTACCTGGGTGACAGGATCATCCTTACTCCCAACCTCAGTGTCATGCAATATACCCTGATAACAAACCTGATCATGTATCCCCGAATCTAAAATAAAAGTTGAAATTATAAAATTAAAAAGAATTTATAGTTAACTCAATGAGTCAGAATGGAAATGTGAATATACCTAAGAAGTCAAAGGATCTTCACCTTCATCTGTAAAAAAGAAGGGTGTTTAGAATGCTGTAGGTGACAGATCGCTGATCTTCACCACTGATTCATCTAGACTATATGTTCAGAGCTGGTTGACACTTTTAAGGTGTATTCAGAACATTAGAGAGTTGTGCTATTATACAGCGTACAAATTCTTCATTCATTGTGTCAAAGCTAAAAGCACTGCTACAATCTAACTTAAGATTAATCTTCTGCAATTACAAAAGACGGAATGATGTTTGCAGGAAGCAACGGAGTATAGGGCTTATTTCTGATTTGCCTACTCAAAGAAAGTATGGCCATCTTTTACTTAATAGAAATACAGCAAACCAAATCTATGGCAGTATTAAAAATTCTACCTTAAACAAAAATCAGAAAAATACAGACATGGACTCTAAGTCTGCCATGGGCATTTATTATATTCCTTAGATTTTACTGTTAAAAATGACGAATATCATATACACATATATTTTCCTGCATACAAAATCCACAAAAGGTAGGAAGATGACATTTTTACTAAAAGGTTACAGATCTAATTTTCTGTTTATTAACTGGTTTAAAAACCTCAGAAAGATTTTACTCAAAACATCTGTAAGAATAGTAATCTCTTTTACATACTAAGTATTCAGTATCTATTTGCCCCAAGCTACCAACTTACTTGTAATTATCTTTACCATGTGTTTATAATTCAGGATGTTAATCTTACCCTATGAATGCTGGTCAACTGGAACCTCTGCAATTAGTCTCAATTTGAAAAGTTCCTAAGGAGAAATCACAAGCATATTGTTATATTTTACACATCACAGGACTGCAAGATAATTCATCCACTGATATGGTTCTAAAATTTCCAACATATATAATAATTTTATGAAACATACAAAAGATAACTTACTTAAAAAGAAAGCATTAAAGAGATCACCTTCTGACTTCTCAAAGAGGTTAACTATTACCCAGGGAGAGAAACAAATCACTGTCACAAACTACACATTTTACTTCATCACAACAGTAGCTTACAAGGCACAAAACATAAACGTTGAATTTGTTTTTTTTTTTTTTTTTGAGACGGAGTCTCGCTCTGTCGCCCAGGCTGGATGGAGTGCAGTGGCGCGATCTCGGCTCACTGCAAGCTCCGCCTCCCGGGTTCACGCCATTCTCCTGCCTCAGCCTCCTGAGTAGCTGGGACTACAGGCACCCACCACCACGCCCGGCTAATTTTTTGTACTTTTAGTAGAGACAGGGTTTCGCCATGTTAACCAGGATGGTCTCCATCTCCTGACCTCGTGATCCACCTGCCTCGGCCTCCCAAAGTACACAATGAATTTTTAATGGAGAATAAGACAGCATTATATATGAGTACCACTGATTTTATAAATATAAGGCAGAAAAACAAATTGAAAGTATTTATGCTTTTTAAAAGGGGAAACGCAGTGAAAGACTTAACATTTGGGATAGTTTTCTTTGTCCAGTTTTTAATTTTTGCTGACCCACTGGTTTTATACAATTATGCCATTATAAAATTCAATGGCACAATACTGAGATCTTTTTTTGCCACTTATATATCACAGGCTTTTTTGATACTGCTACGAAGTTTCTTTAAGAATCATTTTTGATGGAAGCATATAGTTCATGCATGGATATGTCTTAGTTTATGAAATCATTCCCCTACTAAATTTTCAATTTTCCTTTTTTTTTTTTAATACTAATAATGTTGTAAACATCTCTGTACTCTTCATATGTTCTTTTTGTTTTGTTTTGCATATACTTCCAAAATGAAGGAATTAGGTCAAAAGAGCATAAACATTTTAAGGCCTCTGATATACAGCATCAAATTATTTCTCAGAAACGTTATACCAATTTTCTTTCCTGTCAACAATGTATGAGTAACACCTCACCAGATTTAGAAATCATTATTAAAAAATTTTGCTAATTCCTATGTGAAAAATTATCTTATTGTTGCTTTATTTGGCATTTCTTTGAGTTGAATTGAACATGTTTCAGCATACTTACTAATACATTTCATTCCTCTCTTCTATTTAACATTTACCTAAACCAGAGGAATATTTTGCTGAGAAGGTATAAATGTAGAGCTCAATGACAGCTCTCTCGTAATGAAAATTTGTCATCTCAGGGTGAAGCCACTGCTGTCAAGTAAAGTAAATAACAAAATGTAGCTGAGTTTCTTTATTCAGGATAAAACCAAATCATTCAAACCAATTTTAGAAACTATAACTAAACTTATCACCTTTCTTCCTCCTTAGCAGAACACAAAAGTACCAAGTTGGAAGAATGAAATGTGAAATACTAAATGACAATGCTTCTTAGAATAGCATAAATAGTCCATATTAGGCAGGATAAAAAGAGGACAAAGATTGTTACAGCAATTCTGACCGACCCAGCTGCTGAGGCAGGCGGCCTGCGTCAGCACGTCCGCCAGCTTGCTATGCTAATGAGTGTTACACAACTAGCTGATCTACCCCTTCAAAAACATTCTCTCTCCAGAGGAAGGACACAAGACGTGTGTATTTTAACTTAAAAAGTCAGTTCCAAGATAACCTAAAAATAAAAGGGTATTCTGGAAGATTTAGAGATAAGTATAACACTGAGAATTCTCTTCTTTCTCAAATAAGAGCTTCTTCCTGAAAGGAAGGCTCCCAATGAAGGACATACAAGGCACAGCTCCCAAGTGACTGAGGATTAAGGAACAATACAGCAACAATCAGCTTTCTGATAGAAAAACAAAAGGCCCCAAAGGATCTTACTCTTGATGTTCTTGTTTCTTTCTGGTTAGGAGAGATGGTGGATTTGACAAAACAAACTTTTTTGTAGTGCACAAAGAACTACTATACAATTTTGGAATTTGAGCATGGCTTTCCATTTGGGCGTATTTGTTTTATAGGGATAGTTAAATCTTAGGAAAGATCTAGCAAGATGTCAAGAATCTCTGGTCAAAGGACCTGAACTGGGTTAAAGGCATAGTCACTGGGACCTTTTTTGGCAGGAGAGCTACGGCAGAAATCACTGTAATGTCATACTCATTCACCCTGCCTCAGGAAATTGTATAAGTTTAAGGCTTCAGACTACGTAAAATTAAAGCCTCCCATTTCATCAGTTTGAAAATCTCAAAATCATAAATAACAGATGGATTTAAAAAAGGAACATCCCACTGCATCATCTCTCCCATTCTGGATCAAGTGGAATCACCTCTATGAGCCATCCAGACCAGCACAGGCTGAATTTGTTGCTCCTTCATCTGTGTTCCAGGAAGTCATTTGCTAATATTTCTTTTACAGTGTTTATTAATATATGTGAAGCTATTGCCTCCAATTCTTTGAGGGCTGGTGCAGTATCTCATTTATCGGTATCCCAGGGATGTATCCCAATGTCTCTTTCATGGGCTAGATTAAGGTCCTAGATATTATAGCAGCTACCATGTATGGATTCATCAATGGGGCATTTAGATCTCTGGAAACTTAACTAGATTAAACAAAAATAGTACCTACTGAACCTTTCTCAAGGATGGTATTGAATGTGGTTGGAAGAAAATATCATGAGTCTATTTCCTTTGGGTCTGAAACTGGCAAAAGGAGGACCCAGAGGGCTCTTTTGCTACTCTTTTTCCATACAGTGCTTCACTACTCCACTTAAAAACACTGTGAACAAATATTTAATGAATACCAGTGTGAAGTGGCATCAAATCCTTAGCCTGTCCAGAGCCCAGAGTGATCAGTGATAAGCCCACTCCCCTTGCGTCGGTCTTGTCTCTCTCTGTGCCATGAATATTTAGTAAATCACTGTTGAGTAAATGAAGGACAGCAGATCAGGTTTCACCACCCATTTAGGAACCAAGGGTACAGAGGAGAAGGCCTGGCTCTCAGAAAGATCTGTCAACACCACTTATGCACACACATGGTGGGTATGGAAGGGTGGCAACATGACAGGGACAGAGACTCAGGCATTTCCAAGACCCCATGGCAGGGGCAGAAATTCAGAAGCAGAGACTAAGTCTTCATCCTTCAGGGAGAAAGGAGAAAAATTTATATTTGCCAACTTACTCACCAAATGGGACATTTCACAAATCTGAATGGAAAACTGCTGTCAATTCAGCCTGAGTGACTGCATTATAATGACTGAGAGTCATTTTGAATCAGTGTTGGACCACTGGATAAATGCCAGAGCATTCCAAAATGACCTTAATATCTTATCAAATTATGATTTCACAATTATTCCCTTTTCCACAAGTTAACCTAAGTATAATGCAACAAGAACAACACTGGGACCAACGGAATTATCAAGGTATCATCCAAACAAGCATGCTGCATATCATACAATTCTGTGCCCACTTGTCCTGAACTCTGGAGGGCAAGGACCTTTCTAGTGTCCTGAGAGTCAACCACATATTAGGTGCTTCATAAATGTTATAATTCCACAATGCTGTGAGCTATGATTGAGCTGCCAATATTGCATGTCCTTAGATAGCTTTAGTCTCATAAAACCAATAACATCTGATAATGATCACTGTAAAGAATGCTACATCTGCTATAATATACTCTTAACCCAAAGACAAAATCAAATTGTTATGCATTGCAAATCAGCCTAGTGCTTGAGCTAATTTCCGACCACAAAACACAAAGGTTTAATGTTCAGTATTAAGTGACTATTAAACACAAAATATGTTTAAAACAAACACTGCTACCCTATGTGTCCCTGTAAACAAGCAGTTAGTCCTTCATGCTTCTTTAGCATTTAGGGAATACTGATAGTTCTATTATGCTTCCATTAAACTGAATCACCAATATCTGATTTGATGTCTTCCTGTTTCAGCCTTTGAGCTCTTGGAAGAGTCAGGTGTGCAGGAAGAAGTAACACTAACAGTCTCAATAATTACTGTTGAATGGAAAGGGGTGATGGTAGGGGAAGGGTAACATTTATGGTGTACCTGGTGAAATAGGTATTAGCCGACTCTAAAGGTGAAAAAGTTGAGGTTCCGAGAAACAAACTTGCTCAAGCTCAGAGGCAGACCCAGCATTCACAACAGAGCTGACTAAGAGCCATCTGGTACACAGCCTCCCCAAGGAGCTATATAAAAAGGAGTTTTATATAGAATGTGACAGCTCTCTCCTTTTCTCAAAGTTACAATCTATCTTTTAGAACTAAAAGAGACAATTTAAGAATGAGATCTATTTTGTTTTCCTAGCTCTTTGCTCAGTATTCCATCTAGGAAACAGAATCAACAAGTGCTTCCTCCATCCTGGCTGCCTATTAAATAATTAAAGTCGACATGATAGATAGCCAGAGCAAGGGTACATCCTGCTTGCACAGCCTCTTATGAAGAAACATTTACCAACAATTTAATAACAAGATGAATAACCCAAGTTTAATCTGCAGTTAAATAATAGTGTTTTACATGGCTTTTCTTCCAGACATATCGATTAAAATGTGGTTAAAATAAATCAAAACCATACTACCCATATACGACCTTCTTTTTGAAAGACTTTAAAAAGGAGTATCACATGTTTTCAATGTGTTACTTTGTTTGGCCTAGTTCTTATCCTAAAACTGATGAAAATGTGAGAGACTTGGAAGGGAAGGTAGCAGAATAGTTAAGACTGAGGTTTGACTTTGTTGTTTACCATCTGCTTGATCTTAGATAAGCTATCACTTTTCTCATCTGTAAAATAGGGATAATAACCATAATAATGGTTTCAACCTAATGGGGTTGTTTTAAGAATTAATTGAGGCAACTACAATTCAAATGCTTAGC